AGGGATTGGGGGGGTGGGGGAGCGGGCAGGGCCAGCAGGGTTCCCCCCCATGGTCCCCTTCCCCCTCTTCCAGCCCCCTTGACCCCTTACTCACCATCACTGGATCCCTGGTGCCTAACACATGGCCTGGCCGGCATGTGTTTCAGTATCAGGGTGAGGGGCCAACCATGGAGATGCTTTGGCAGCCAGAGTGTCTTCCTGGAGGACCCAGCTTCTGGTTGCCTCAGGGCATGGTCCAGGACCATGCCCTGCCCTGCTTTTTTTTTTGTTTTGTTTTTTTTAGACCCCCTCATGCCCTGTCCCGCTTATTTTTGTTTCGTTTTTTTTAGACCTCTGGATATCCAGGCAAAATCCACCACAGTCCATAACAATCTGACCAAAGGGCAAAATTCCCAAGACCCTCTAGCCAGGAACCTCCAGTTTAAGTCCCAGCAGGAGCAAATCCCAAACCTTGGCTGCAGCCTGGCTCCATGAAGCTCCCTCCCAGCTCCATGAAGCAACCATCAAAGCCCTGAAGCATGGACAATAGCCATAAAAGAACATAGACATAGCTATGCCCAGATCATCTCTGACTGGTGGCTGTCCAACCACATCTTAAACAACTCCAGTGGAGGAGAATCCACAACTTCCCTAGACAGTTTATTCCATGATATAAAAATATTATGTTTAGTAGCTTGCTGACTAAATCATAAGTTTAGGAATAGATGAGTTCATAAGTCCAGAGAGCACTGGTTTAACAAGTTGGTTATCAAGTAATTTAGAATAGCATAAGTAACTATAGGTGAAGTACTAATTTTAGATAAGAAATTGTAAGCAGAAGAGGTTCACTCCGGGGCCTAGGCTGACTCAACTGGAAAGAGGAAGACGCCCTCACGATGGTCACGACCCCCAGAGTCTGGGGCCTAGGCTGAGCCAACTGAAAAGAGGAAGGCGCCCTCTGGATGACCGCGACCCTGAAGGATAATTATAACTAACAAAAACATGTTATATAACGATGACTAACCTTCTTGCGTGCACAACTGACGAGAGTCTACCCTCCTGCAGGAGTAATAAAATTTGTCACTGG